TGTAACAGTTGCATCCAATGGGCTGATAAACACATTGAATTATTTATCATCATGTTCTGCATTTCTCTCCTTTTTAATTTTTTGGTTGGATAAAGTTTGAATTCAGGGCTTTAGGTTTACAAAGCAGATTCTCTACCACTTGAGCTACACATCCAGTATTTTTGCTTTCGATATTTTTGGAGATGGGAGCTCATGAAATATTTGCACTTCACCAAAAACATTGAGATATGAAGATAAGTGAATCCTTGAGAAAAGACATGAATACCGTGGTGGTAGGTCAATTTGTCAGCATGAGCAAGGCCATAGGTTCTATCACAAGCACTGGAAAAAACTAAACTATACAAAATGATATAAACAAAAAAATGAATGAACAAAACAAGTTCAAATGTTAATTATACATATAAAAGTACAATTGTTTGTATTATTTTTATTGCTTTTCTTCCTAGTGTTTTCTTCCTATTTCAAACCAACTAAGCAATAACTTTCCAAAAATGGCTATTTCAATTTCCAAAATGAAAGACAATTAAAATACACAATACAGAAGGAAAACTTGTTGGACCCTGGTGCCTCGTACTCATCATCCTAACTACTTGGGAGACTAAACACAGTAGAATCATGGTTTGAGGTAACTGTTCATCTGGGATGGAACCATTTACCACCTCTCTAGCATATATTCAGAAACCACTTAAAGGGGCAAAGGATAAAAACCAAAGTTGCTCCTATAGTTCAAGATATTCTAAGAGTTTTAGTAATTCTGTGCCAGAACCTGTGATGAAGAGCACACCCAAAAAAATAACTCCATTCATTCAGCTAGAGATCCTAAAGGTCTCTGACTTTCCCAAGGTCCATTACAACTTCCACAATTGTCAGAAATTACATTGTGAGTAGAAATTCTGTCAATGAAAATGCAAACAACTGAAAACTTACCCAAGCAAAATAATCTTGGTAACACTAGTAGTTAAGACCACAATACCACCTTCCTTAATGTTCCCATTATACTTAGATGCCCAACAAGGGAAGGACACACTTTTGATTCTTCCATTTTCCACCTCAAATTCAACATCTTACTTGATCAGCTGAAAAAGAACCCTAACTAAACACGCTAACTAAATCTTAATGAAATTCTCTGCTCTTTCTAGTCAGTCTCTGACTCACCCTCAGCCTGAGCCACTATATCAACCCGTACTTCACTGTCACAGGAAACACAGTCTCAAGGCTAAGGATCTCTGGTCCAGGAGTTAATTTGGGCCCATCTTTTACCCACAACCTCTTAGGTTCTTTTTATTACATTTTGTCCCTCTTTACTACTCTTGAAAAAACAGCCCTTCTTTGCCTTGCCTTGAAGCACTTGCACACTCTGTTGTTGGGGTAGTCCTGCCACTGAAAGCCTAAGTTCATGTTTTGCCTTAATCTTCATTTCAGTTTTGAAAATTCTGTCTAGGCACAGACCAAAGAGACCATCAACTATGTTCACAAACCTTTGATAAGTTTCCAATCTCAACCCTCCCATTCAAAACTCAACTCAAGTGCACCACCATTGCAGTGAGTTGTGCAATGTGAGCTCTCTGTAAATTTAGAGATTTACTAGAACCCTAAGTAGCACATGTCTGGGATCAGGTTGTTTATTCAAGACTCTGCTTCCACATTTTCACATAATTCAGGACCATCAATTTTACGCTGAGAAATTTGGAAGGAGCAGTGAACACCAATGATCACAGCTTCAGCTGAAGGGAAGCTACTACCTCTCACCAGCACATCATCTAGGGATAGAATAAAGGGCTCCAGGATGGGTCTGGTTACTCAGAGGTACGGGACAGGATGACAGGGTCCTGCTCATCTTTGCAGATCCACACACAAAATAGATAGGATGGAGGGCTACAAGGCACTGCAGGCAACTCAGGCCCCAGAATTTAGCACTGTGCTCAGAATGCCAAGGTCTCTCACTACTGCTCCAAGCAGGTCCAACTTCCTCATCCTCTTGAGACTGGGGATACTGGTCACAAACACTACTTCTACCTGCTATGGTGACTTGGGTTCTTCACTCCAACCTAGCTGAGCTCACATATGACAGGGGAGTGAGATTCAGTTCCACTGTCTCCATATCAGAAGGATTCTCAATGATTCAGAAAATGATGGAAACCAGAAAGTCATTTTCCAAAGATTAGGCGGTGGTGCCTCCTCCCACTGGATTCTGGTAGGACAATCTAGACAATTCTTGCCCTCCACTGACAGTTCTTTTCATTGGCTCTTGAACCAAGGCCCTGTCACATTAGATCCGTGTGACAGAAGTTATACATCACATGGTATAGAGACTGGACCAGTAAATGATTCCAGGCACAGTCCTTAGGAGACCAGGCCTCCTCCCTGGACCTTATGTTCCACAGTGTGGGCAGATGCACTGTATTTAAGAAGAACCTGCATCTGGCTTTTCCAAAAGAACTCTGTATCTTTCACATGGAAATGGAGTCAGGAGTCTGCTGAGAATATTCCAAATTTAGCATCTAAGAACGTAGCTCCTGATTTCACAGAGGGATCAATTTGTAGGACAGGGAAAGGGAGACTTCAATAGAATAGGACAAAAGAACTGGTGTTACACTATGTTGGTATCAGTCACTTGTCTTTAAGGACAAGGATTTCTCATATCTGTTCCCTCAAGCTATCCTTTAACACCCAAGAATGTAGGAACAAACTGGGCACTACTGGCTCCCACTTGTAATCCTAGCTATTCAGGAGGCAGAGATCAGGAGGATCACGGTTTGAAACCTGACCAGGCAAATGGTTTGTGAGACTGTATCTTGAAGAAAAAAAAAAAAAAAAACCTTCACAAAAAAGGGATGGCAGAGTGACTCAACGAGTACACCATTAGCCCCCTTAATTCAAGCCCCAGTTCTGCAAGAAATAAATATAAATAAATAAAAAGAAAAGAAAGAACATACCAACAAGTGAGCTCAACAATTATTAGATAGAAGAGAAGCTGTAGCTATCTCACCAATTCCATACACTCAAAAAAACCCTCAAGGTAATAAAAACCTGTGTTCTAGCAGACAGAACCAAATGTGTCTTGTTTTCCCATTGTACTTCACAAGCTTTCTCAACTGTCAGGAGGTACATTCTGACAGGGTCAACCCCCTTAATGAAAATGCAAACAACTTTCTGGTGCAGAGGCTCAAGTGATACAGGGCCTGCCTAGCAAGTGTGAGACAAGAGTTCAAACCACATACCACAAAAAAGAAAATAAAATGAGTTGAAATATTACAAAAGCAAAGTAATCCTAGAAATCACTCATGATTAAATAACATCATATTTTGTGTTCCCATTACACTTACATGTCTTTCCCCAAGAAACCTAACATAAGGTAAGGCTCACACTTTAGATAATCCCCTTTCTGCCTCAAAAACTTTACTTTAATTGTTCAGAAGAAACAGAACAGCTAATAAGCAAACTTTCCTAAAGGTTGTTTCCTTTTTATACTCCTGAATTCTATGAACCACCCTCGACCTGAGGCAACCCAAAAACCCCTTTTTAAGGTCACCTGAAAACAATGTCAGCTCAGGGGAAAGGATATCTGATCAAGGAGCTGATGGCTCCTTTGTTATCCTTCCTCTCCCAGAGTCATCCACAACAGTATGCTCCTCCCTAGAAAGCACAGCCCTGCTCTACCTCACCCTTGAGACCCTGCAGACCTCCGAGTTGGTGCTGCCCTGCTACTGCTACTTCAATATGATCAGTCCTTGTCTCCATCTGAAATTATCGTTTGAACATACTATCTAGACAACTCCAATTATGTCAGATATTGCAAAAACTTCAACCTTCAACACCTTCCCAACATCTCCCCTTTGTCATGAACCCCACATGTGCATGCAGAGTCTTTGCCTTGAGTTGGGCAATGCAAAGACAGCTTTAGTTTAGGAATTTATTACAGTCCTAAGAAGAACTGCGCTGTGGACCTGGCTCTAGTCTGAGATCAGCTTCTAAACACTTAGCTAATTCTGGGCAATCACCAAGGCCACAAGGATAATGGAGGGAGCCAAAACCTCCCACCCACTGAAGGCTGGAGAGACCTAGAGCTCAGGTGATGAGGAGTCCTAACAGGGCTCTGGGCAAGGGCTATGCCATTGCACATAGAGGACAGGATGCCAGAGTGTGTCCATCTGAACAGTCCCACCCCAGGGCAGAGAAGAATACAAAACTTCACAAGCAGCGAGTCAGGCCACAAAATGCAGTGATGTACTTGGGAGGACCAGGTCTGTACCAACCTTTTCAGGCCATTTCTTATGTCCTCATCCTCCTAGGGTCTGGGATGCCAGTTACAAACAGCATTTTAGGCTTCTTTGCTGAGTAAAGTACTGATCACAGACCTGGGACCATATACAAGCCACTGTAGGAGAGACTAAGTTACATAGAATTGCTCTCAGCATCACAATGTGATCCAGAAAATGTCCAGACACCAGAAGGCACTTCCTGCATAATTCAGAGGGTCCTACTTACACTAGACTGTGATTTGCCAGTTCTCAAGCACTTCTCAAAGACTAGTGATCCACAACTCAACCCTTGAGATCTGAGCAACAGGAGAAGTAATCTCCTATAAGGGAGGGTGCATAAACCAAATAATTGAATCCTGGAACCGTCCTCAGCAGTTAAGACCTCCTCCCTGGTGCCTACCCACTCAAGCCTGATGAGGCATTGCAGTGAAGTGGAACCTGATTTTCAAAATGGACCTTTCTTCAACTGGGGAATGGAGCCTGGAATGTGGTGTGAGAATTTCAAACTCATTTCCCCATGGGGACACCCTATAATCTTGGAAGAGTTGTGGTTCTAGGCCAGGCCAGGAAAATGGAAAAACTTTGTATGAAGATAATATCATATCTACTCTTCACACACAAAGAACAAATGACAACAAATATGAAGAAACAGGGAAATGTGGATCTTCAGTTTAAAAAGCATGGACTCCATACTCAGTCCATGAATCAACTATAAGCAGGAAAAAATGTGGCACCCACCATTTTGTATCAGTCTGTTCTCTGAGCCTTCTTCAGCAGTCACCTTGCAGCCCCCTTGGAATCTAGGAAGGAGAAGACAGGTATTTTCTTCATGACCTGAATCCAAATCAATCCCCAACAGTAGACCCTCCTTTGGATGGACCATCCTCTGGATAACAACTCCAGAACCTCTCCCCTAACAACAGCTGAGTTGTAACAACTACACCACTCCTGTGACTGGAACTGTTTAAATGTGCATATCTTCGCACCCTGCCCCCAGTCCTTTGCCTATTTACATCTATATCTCATGTCTGTACCATGGAGATGGTGAACATGAGCTGAGTACTTACTCTGCCTCATCCCACACCATATCCTAGCTGTGAAATAATATTGCTTTCCCTGCCTTCACCATGCTTCTTTATTTGAAATTGAAGGGTAATTACTTGGACCTATAATGTGCAATCACAGGAGCTTGTGCTCTTGGTCCAAAATTCTATTTTGAGAATGAGAAATTGACTGCTGAAAAATCTCAGGCAGGGGATTCATTTCACAAAGCCTTTTCTTGGAACTGTTTAAAGTAGAATCATCAAAGGAGTATAGGCAAGCATGTAGAAGAAACAGCAAAGTGGAAATATTATCTACAAAGAAGATAAAATCAGTGCAGACTTAGAAATCATCAAAGGATTACACAGAGAGCATGAAGATGGATATACAAGTTCAATGAAACCACCATTATAGGTGCTTAATGGTGGACTAGAGGAAGAAGAATAGAGTCAGCATGAAAATGATTGAAATTATGCAGCTAGAAGAGAAAGAGAACACTTTTAAATTCACAGAATGTATCACTGGTATCTAAATTTGGTAATGGTTGAAAGATCTCTACAAAGAAATAAAAACATATACGCTAAGAACTTAGGTCACATAAAGAAAAGACAGTGTTAAGAAATTATAAGTGAACAACAATTCATTACTTTCTTCCTCACTGGTACTCAAGGTACTCAAGGACAATCTTTGCCAAGTCATTCAAAGTAAATTATAGACTAGGTGATCATCCCTTATAATATGAACAATCAGTAAGAACAATGACATATGGGTTGAATAAAAACAGTGGGGAACATAGCAGTATCTGCTTTGTCCATGAAACAACACATTTTACTTGAAATGCATTTTAGTAACTTGGAAAAGGATTTTTTAAATGTTTGGGAAATTACTAACAATACATTTTAAAAGTACTAGGTATTACAATGGGGGATAGAAAATGTGATAATATAATTAATAAATTACTGCACCTGTCAGACTGTCTCAAGTGGTGTAGTGCTTGCCTTAGTAATCACAAGACCCTGAGTAATAAATAAGTAAATAAATAAAGGACTTCCGCAAGATTGTACTACACCAGCTGTATGCAAAGCACATCATTTTGCTGAATTTATAATAACCATCTGAACTTCACACAATAGAAGAATACCATTTACACAGAACGAAGGAACGGTAAAAGAAAAATGACATGCAGAGAGGTAGGGTGAGATGGGGGCCATAGTAAAATGAAGGAACAAGTACAAAAATTGCTCAACACCAAAGGTTATCAGTATAGTACAAAAAACAGCATACAAACAAGATGTCTAATGCTAAATGGACAAGTGGAATAAATTAGAACATCCACATATTTTCAAATCACAGAATAAGCAAACAATCATAAAAGGTTAGATAAAATCATACATTACCACAACTTTGCAGTAAATTTTAATATATCCATACTCTACAGAGCACCAATGCCACAATTCCCACCCTAAAAGAATATTCTGCTAACAGGGTAGAACACTAGGGCAATGTTACATAATTAAAACGAGCAAAATCTTTTGGGTCAACCTCACCACAAGAGATATGGTTTATTGGATTGACTCTTTGGGAAAGATCTATTACTCCAGAAACTGTTGTCATGCACCCAATGTGAGGGGAGGGAAACAGTCATCTAACATCCTGTGACCTTACTGAGCTACCTTAATCTTTGTCAAAGAATGCTGACTTCTATTAAATGCAATGCTTATTTTCAGAAACCTTCTGATTTCTTCCACCATTTTAGTTTTGCTGAGATTTACTACATGGTTTATGCCTAACTGCTACATATGAAGTCTATTCAATGTGTACTCTTTCCTTCATGAAACTTCCTTCACTTTGGCTCAACTTCAGTGCCTTCATCTAAAACAAGACCTAAGTACCAAGAATGCACACTCTGGTAACATTACCAAATATTGCCCCAAAGACCCCAAATGTTATGACTTTTGCAAATTTCTTTGCCATCACTTTGCATAACAAATATGTGGTGTTACCAACACCAAACCAACTTTCAAATACCAACTAATTTTCCTTCAGTTCAAATCTGACACCCTCCAGATTTAGCACAGCCCCTCCAACTTCTGGGCAGTGTGAAAGAGACAAGAAGCCATAGCACTTCTTTGCTATGTCTGTTCAAGACAGTCACCTTCCTAACATTATGAAGATGTAACACCCTAAGACCCGTCATTAGAATAAATGCAAACATTGCCTCAATGGGGCTTAGGAAAACAACCAAATACACTCCTATTGCCTCAGAAATTTCAAGGATTTCAAAATCACTGTGCTAGAAACTGACACAAGGACCAAAACTTTTAATCTATACTACACACTCACATGGCCTTCCAAATACACGAACTTTTGCCACATCAAGAAAAATATAAAGGTATCTTTCTCTAAGCCTGAGCCTCCAAGACTTGTCTTCATTTGCACAAATTACACTCTGTCTAATCAACTATTTCAACACAAAATGAATGTAGTGCAAAGATATATTCTGAATGTTGCAACTGTCATAAATAGCTGCAATTAAACCACACTTCCACTCATTTTCACAGTAGCAAAGGAGCACAGAAGCAACATTCTTCCCATTACCCACTTTGTAAACTCAGATACTCCTCCACACACTTTCCAAATGCCCCTTTTTTGCCTCAAAAATGATTATGAGGTAATCATCACAAATACCTTCAAAATGATTTGTAAATAGTAGTAAGGTGGTTTGACAAATATCAGCCTGAGTCGCCAAACAAATCACACTTTACAGTCACCATAAGATCAGGAAGAACTCAAGTCCCTGTGGTTCACACCTGTAATCCTAGTGTCTCAGGAGAGAGAGAGAGAGAGAGAGAGAGAGATCAGGTTTGTCTTGCTTCAAAGCCTGTGCTAGCAAAAATTTCTTGAGACTCTATCTTGAAAAAAACCCATTACCTAAAAGGGCTAGTGGGGTCACTCAAGAGGTAATAGCACATGCCTAGCAAGTGTGAGGACCTGAGTTCAAATCCCAGTGCAGTCAAAAAAAAAAAGACCACGGGATCTTAGTGCTGGTAGCTCCTTTCTGTAAACCTAGGTACTTGGGAGACTGACAACTGTAAGGTACTTCCAAATTAAGACCATGCCACGTGTGGAAAGGAAAGATTTATTAATCCAGACCACGGGCTCTGACTCTCAGGTTCAAAGTGAAGTGGCTTGGCTGAATTGGGTAGTGGGCTTTATAGGAGGGGCCAAGCCATGGGAGAGAGTTCTGGTCTCTGATTATCTGTGATCACCAGATGGAACAGGTCGACAGGCCTGGCTAGTTGAGTAACTGCAAGTTTCTGAGTTGTTTTGCAAGCCGAGAAACAATCAGGCAGTGAGAAACAAGCAGTCATAAATCAGGGGGTCTGGTTTTAAGGTGTACCCTCAGGTCCTTCCACCCACCCCAAGAATGCCAGGGACCTAACAACAACAGAATAACAGCCAAAATCACCTTAGAAAAATTGCTCACCAGACTTCATTTCCAAAATAACCACAGCAAAATAGACTGGAGATATGGGTCAAGTGGTAGACCTGTGCACTGTAAATGGAAAACTATGATTTCAAATGTCAGTCCCCAAAAATAACACAAGTAAAAAAGACACAAGACCAAGATGATCACAGGTGAAAACTGATTTTCCCAATCTCCATGTCTGTCTAGTACTAATTTATTTCTTCTCCTTTGTTCTCCTCTCTTTGAGAGCAAACTGCCTTTCTGCCTTGAGATGTCTACATTCCTTATTTTTGGGGCTTTCCACGTAGAATAATTCTCTTAAGTCAGGGTCTAAGTTAACCAGCATATCATTATACAACAATATTCTAAAAACAACCTGTGGACAACGAACAGTTAAGTCAGGAAGGGCAAAAAGTTTCCCCTCCACTCAGAAAGCAACCAACGTGCACATGTGGATTTGCACTTCCAGTGAATCTGACAAACTACAGGATTTGTGGAAATTACGGATTTATTGCTAGCACTAAGAAGTACTGCATTGAGGGGACAAGGCACAGAGTTTAGCCCATACTTCTCCTGAAGCTGAAGGACTCAAGGGGAAGCAAGGTCCCAGTAAAGAGTTATGGAGACACTGCACACAAGCTCCCTATCTCAGCAAAAACTCCGTTTAAGTGCTGGGGAGGCTCCCCGACCACCTCAGTCTGCTGGACAGGGAATTGCAAACAGTCTTCCAACAGGGCAGTGGTCTGGGAGCAAGTAGCCTCACAGGGACACAGGACGGGGTTCAAGGCTTTAGTCCAGCGGCACCTTCCAGGCGGCAGCGGACCTAAGACCCCAACCATGTGATCAAGGCGCAGTCTCCAGAACAGACAGGGTCCAGTCAAAACCACCGCAGCTTCGGGATCCAACAGTCCCGCCACCCAGCACTGCGGATGCCCAACCGCCCTCTCACCATTTCCCGCCTCCGACGCGTCCAGGTGACCTCCCTGTGGTCCTGCAGTCAGAAGAGTTCACACAGCTGCTGGAGCTGTGCAGCCTGCACAATGTCCCCCCAGCAGGCGCATGGTAAATATGGCGACAATGAGGAAGGCAAGTTGAATCGCCTAACACTGCCGCTTCTCATTGGATGGCTGGTGCCTACGATTAAGCAGCCGCTCTTATTGGCTAAGGGACGAAGGCCCACCCACCAAGTCCTTGAGTGACGGGAAGGTGGAGTAGGGAGGAGGTGTTAAACTGGTGAGTTGCAAATGACACTCCAGCTGTCCTTGCCAATCAGGCTTCCTCTGTTGGAGATATATTTTAGTTTATGGGTTAATTACATTCAGCAGAACTTGTCCTGACCCTAAGGACGCAGCGCCTGCCTCTTATCATACTCACTGTGACCATCTTCTATACTCCCCTTGAAAGTGGGAGGACAGGTTTGCTCAGAGAATTCTAGACTAAATATCCCACCGAAAAAATTCATCAGGTCAGTTAAGGTGAGGAGATTCAGGTAGGCTAGGACACAGGAAGTCCATGCAGGGCTGATGCTCAAACTCTGGAAATGGAATGAAGCAGATATCCAGGGCTTTCTCACACCAAAGAAAGTAAACACACGTTGCCATAAAAGTGTCTCCTGACAGGTCTCCCAGCAGCAGGCACATGGCAAATATGTGGATAATGTTTTAGGTAATGTAAACGTGCTACCAGTGTCTGCAGAATAGCTAAGATTACAGGCGAGAGCCACCAGTCCCTGGCTTAAGTTCCCATTTAATTGTGTATTCCCTGTATTCCATTTTGTTTTCACTATTAGGATATCAATATATTTTATTATTTGTTACGTTAATTCATTTTGCAATGTGTACTTGCAGTTTATGTTAATGCAGTTTGTTCCTTTTATTTCGTGTGTGTGTGTGTTACAAAGTTTAGCCCAAGACCTTGTAATAGTTAGCAAAGCTGTCCAGTGATGAGCTATCCTGGTATCTTTTTATTTTGAGACAGAATCTCACTAAATAACCATGACTGACAGCCAATTGATAATCTGTGTGCAACATCCCCCCTCCTCAGTAGCTGGGATTTTAATTGTATAGGAATACAACTGAGTCTTTTATCCACATTTTTGTGATTCTGACATTTGAACTCGGGCCTCACACCTCCTCAGCAGACACAACAAAGTCCTGGAGTATACTTTCAAATAACATTACACAGCTTAGGGTCAATTCAGGTATCATGCAATGCTCCAGTGTCTTCCCTTCCATAACATATTCAGTTACTCTCATTCATCATTTCTTTTCAGAAACCGTAAGTACCAAGTACTTACATTTATAGATGATAACAAATATGAATATATGATTTTGCAGACAGGAGGCATGTCTCAAGTGTTAGATCATGTGCCTAGCAAATTTGAATCCCTAACTTTAAACCCAGTATGCCCAAGGGAGAGAAAGGATTTATTATATCCTCATTTAACTCTTTTCAGCCCTCTTTCTTTGCGGGATCTTTATTTCCAACCACATTTTCCTTCTCTCCAAAAACTCATTGCAATTTTTGCAATCCTTATGTACATGTGATATATTCTGTAACTATTATTCAATTTTCATGCTCTTGTTCAGAATGAATAATCTCAATTGCTTGAGGAAAAGGTGTGGAACCACAGAGAGCAGCTTTAAAGAGAAGATTCTCAAAATCCTAGTCATCTCTTCAATGTGAAGAAGAGCTGTGGCTTAAGAATTAAAGCACGTGCTTTACAAGTGCAAAGCCCTGTGTACAAAACCCAATTCCTGCAAGGAAGGTGAAATACATGATTGTTGGAAGCATTAAAGAAGATATGAAAATTTATCAATGATAAGATGATTGTGGAATGGATGGCAAATATGAATCAATTAAATCACAATCCCAGATGCAAAGCAAAATAAGGGAGTTTGTGTTTCTAAACTTGGATGATCATGACATCAAGGAAAAATCATATTTCAGAAATATCATAGTGTTTGTTGGTATGTGGTGGCTAATGCCTGTGAACTCATCTACTCAGGAGACAAAGATTGGTAGGATCAGGGCTTGGGACCAACCTGGGCAAACAATTCTACCACATGGGAATTATCTGTGCAAGGATTATAGTATGAGGCAGCAATGGTCAAAATGGGAGACCCTACATGAAAAATATCTAAAATAGCACTAAATAACTTGGGAACCTGGCTTGATATGCAAATGCCTATGTCCATGGTCAAAAATGTGTGACATAGCCTGTGAAGACAGAGCAAAATAGGGTAGGATTTTGTTCTTTGGAGCTTGTCACAGACTTCAGCTGCTGGTGGGCAGTTTGTTTGGTGCATGGAGTGCACATGTGGTGAGGAGTAGAGGTTTGCATTAAAATCTTACATGCAAAAGCACAAAAAAATTCATAACTGCTTAGGTAAAGAGCTTTTTCACAAAAAAAGATTCTAAAAAGGGTTCAGAATGAAGCCACTCAGGGATGCAGCCTGTTGAAAGTACCATACATAAGGAAACTGTTATACATGTTTTTAAAATGTCTCTGTGCAGATGCAGGCCATGGTGATTCACTTTGAGGAAAGGAGTCAGGAACCTAGAAAACCAGGAACTGTCACTCTGGGACCTCCACACACACCATTTTCCTCACTTACTTGATGAAATGCTTCATTACAACACAGGCTCAATAGGAAAGTTGTCAAATGCTCATCCAAAGCCAATTCAATATTCAGATCACTGTTGTCTTTTCCTGACATTGCTAAACTCTAATGAATTCTCCAACACCAATGGGCATCCCATGTTCTAATTCTGAGAACAGTCTGCAATGCAGAGTTTTAGATATTTAGTAAGTTTCACACTGAATCACACCACACTGGTACCACTGTATGTTCTAATGCCACATATATTTGCTCTGTACGGTCACCATTCACCATCTTTTTTGTGGTACTGTGGTTTGAATCCAGGGCCTTACAATTGCTAGGTAGGTGCTCTACCACAGGAGCCACTCCAACAGCCCTTCTTTGTGTTCAGTATTTCTGAGATAGATTCTTACAAACAATTTACTCAGGGCTGTCTTATTTTCCCAGGCCTGGGTTCAAACCAAGAACCTCCTGATCTCTGCTTTCAAGAAGATAGGATTTCAGGTGTGAGTCACTGGTGCAGAGCAACATTTTCTATCTTGAAGTTATCTGGTTAAGGCTCTGTGCACCATCTCACTAGTACCATACAAACACCATGTAAAAACACCAAGAATAAACAACCAAAGATTCTCCTATTGCTCAAGACATTCTGAGATTTACTTACTCTGTAGCAGAACCTGGGACCAAGAGCAGCACAAATAAATGCTCAATTTAATAAACCATTTTTTCACCAGGCACATCGCAAGGATATCTTGTTTTTCCACTGCCTGTGACAGACATTTTCAGTGGTCAAAATCCACATTGTGACTAGACCAATGACCTGAATGCAAATGTGAAGAGCTGAAAACTTACCCAGGATGACCCAAGTAATTCTGCTGAACACTGGTAATTAAATACCACCACCCCACCATCCTTCCTATTCTCATTGCACTTAGATGTCCTTCCTTTTCAAATCTACAAAGGGTAAACACAAATTTCAATTTCTATCCAACACAAAACAGGGCTGGTGGAGTCGCTCAAATAGCAGAGTGCCTGTTAAGCAAGCGTGAAGCCCTGAGTTCAAACCACAGTACTGCAAAAAAAAAAAACCAAAAAACAAAACAAACACAACAAAAGTAATCAATATATCTGAAGTTACCATATAATACAGATACCTATACATATACACCTGTTTATAGCAGCACTATTCATAATACTTAAGCTATGAAATCAGTTTAGGGGCCCAAAACTAAGGAATGGATAAAGAAAATGTACATATACACAATGGCGTATTACTCAGCAATAAAGAAGATGAAATTACATCATTTGCAAGAAAATGGATGAACTACTTACCATCAGGTTGAGCTCGATAAGCCAAACTCAGAAAGACAAACATTGCATGTTTTGCTCATATGCTGAAACCAGACCAGTAATAATTATGATGATGGTGGTGATGATAACACAATTGTAAAAGAGGGACTGCTTGGGGGGAAACCAATGGGAGGAGAAAGGGGGATATGATAGAGGGTGAATATGATTTAAGTACATTACTTATATGCAGGAAAACAGCATAATGAAACCCACTAAAATCTTACAAAGAGGGGGCGAGGAGGGTAAAGAGAATAATATTATAGATGGGGTAAAGCTGATCAAAGTACATTATATCATATGTCTGTGTGCAAGTCTCACAATGAAACTCCTTTTACAATTAATGCACGATAATAAAATTTTTAAAAATTCAATTTTCACACTTTATGCATCAAACTCAATAGGTTAATTGATTACAAGAAACAGAATACTCATTAAGCAAACTTCCCTGAATGTTCTCTGCTCCAGGTTTGTGATCTCTGACCATGTCCAATAAGAACCCTCAAATGACACCTCCTTTACTGACACTCTAAGGACTGACTGGCCTTAGGGAAAAATCTTCTGATGTAAGAGCAAATGTTGTCCTTCCATCATACTTAGTCTTCAACTTTCCTTCTCCTCCTGTTTGCTCCTCCCTATGAAACACAGATCTGCTCTATTTCATCCTTATGTCTCTGTAGGTCTTTGTAAGAAAAATGATTTTTACAATCAATGTATTTGTTACCCTCACATTACTTAAAAGTTCGTCAGGTTGCCATCTTAGGTGATTTGCATGTTTAAAGGTTCCTTGCTTCTTCTTCCAGATTCCTGTAGGATTCCTTTATGACTGTATTACCTGCGGAACCCATCCCAGAAGACTTTTAATCAATAGGAAAGGATGGGGAAACTTTGACCTTGACAAATCCTGGGTTAGGGGCAGGTACAACTGTGCAGCTGTTGTATATAAGGAGGAGCAATGGTCAGTCGTTTTATGCTAGAATGTTTGCTTGGCTGGAGTGAGCACATGCTTGCACCCTCTTGATCAAGAAAAATTGCCCTGTCAAGATTTTCTGTCTCTTGTGTGTCTGCTTTCAACACCAGAGGGTCTTTTATTCCAACAG